AAGGGCTTATTCCTGAGACATAACTACTTACAAAGGACCCTCACATAAAACAGGAAGAGGAAACCATCTCAACAGATGACCAAAACAGGACCCCAGATAACATGAGCAAAAGGGACAACAGGATATCTACAAAAAATATGTAACTTACCAATAACTGAATTCACAGATTTAGATGCAGATGAAGTGTCAGAGAATTAAAAACTTTAATGATTAAAATGATCAATAAACTAAAAGCATGCCTAGGAAATTAAAGAGGATAGAAAATATCAGAAGTGGAAGAGCATTTCTAGATAAGCAGAAATTATAGATAGCTGGATGAAGTAGGTCACTATGGGCGCAACTTTAGGTTTATATTTTGTCCATAGTGAGTGGAGCTGTCCTTCTGCTTCCTGGTTGCCGTGACCTGAACTGCTTTCCCCCACCATGCTTTTCTGTCATGATGTTTTGCCTCATCTTGGGTCCAGAGCTGTGGAGTCGGCCAACCAAAGACTGAACCTCTGAAACCATGAGCCAAAATAAATGTTTCCTTTTCTATGTTGTTCTTGTCAGATCTGGAGTCACAACAAAAAAAAAAGTTGACTAAAATAGAATTTGGTATTGGAAATGGGGCCATCGATATGACTAACTTTTCCATGTGGCTCAGAAGTCTTTGGAATTGGTTTGATGGGGGAGAAATCTGAAATTTAGAGATGCTAGTTACTAATCCCTCAGAATGTTGTAAGTGGAGCTTAATGGGTGATTCTGGTGAGAACCCAAAGACCAGATTGTAGATAGGACTTTGGAGAGTTAAGTGGGGCTAATCAGGTTTCAAAGGATGGGACTCTTGGAAATTGAACTGGAGGACATTTATATTATGTTCCAGCAAAGAAATGGTCTACATTTTGCCAATGTCCTGAGATTTTCAGTGAGGCTGAATTTAATAGTGCTAAACTATTAATCAGGCAGAAGAAATTTCAAGGCTGCACAGCATTCAGGCTGTGTCATGGATCTTGATAGTGACTTTTAGCCAAGTGTACTATGATAATCAGAAGCAGAAAGAAAAGAAGAAAGATTTGCAAAATTGTAGTTTGGCCAAAAAGTCCAAGTAGAACTGGGGCTACAGAATTTGTGGTTGTTAAAAAGATTATAGCCAGTAAAGGGATGCTAAGTACTTTAAAAATGGACAATAGGAAACATGGCTTGAGAGCCTTTCAGGAATTGGGAAAATCACATCTACCTCAGGGTTAAGGGTATAAAAGTAAAAATTTCTTTGAGCAGAGACCATGGGAATACCCTACTTGCACAAGGAGCTAGGAAGATATTTCAATGTGCAGAATAATGCAGTCAGAGAGACTGCTGTATCCATTGTCCCTTGAGCCTTGTTTGCTGCAAATCTTGGTGTCAATCATGTAGTGTTGGTACTGCATTAATGCAAGATTCTGGAATTAGGGAGTCATGAAGGATTCCACCAAGATTTCAAAGGAAGATCTGGGAGGACAGGCAAAGTGGAGCAGAGTCAGATTCCTGTGCAAACAGCCCCTTAAAAGGCAATTTATGATC